GTCAATTTTTAATAAATTTAGTTAAAAATCGCCTTTGTAGGGCTTATACTCGGTGTCTATGGGGTTGATCGATCAATTGAAGGTGTCAGAAATAGTTTACTTTGCTCATACATGAGGCACCATCTATTAGACGTTTAAAGTAATTACCAGGCCTCTAGAGTAGTCTCTTACATTGTGACATACTCACTCTTGACTATAGCTCTGTACCGATCACACGTACATCTAGAAGTTCTGTGTACAAGACATAATAAAGCTGCAACTACATATAGACGTATATATAATCAAAGTGTTATATTATTACTAGAATAGCAATCCTTCCTATTTTCCACAAATTATTATAAAAGTCCTTCAGATTCTAATTCGATAAATTATGTTTCTGAAAATCTAGATTTAGATTCTTATTTAAAAACTACTTATAGAGGCAATCTAGTTTTGAGTCATCACAAAAAACACAAAAGCTTATCTGACAATCTTACAAATTATGTATCGGAATAAGTTGTTCAACGAGAAATTCTTTCAATAATAAAATCAAAAAAAGCGACGACTGAAACTCCATTAACTAGATTAGAGTAAGATCTTATTAATGTTCTGAACGTAACAATTTTCATTACAATCTACACTGAGAAAAAAAAATACTTTTGCTCAATTAACAATTTCTTGGCTCAAGAAATTCGCTGTCGATCAAATATTCTATTATTATTAATTATTAATTTCTGAAGAGAAGAACATCAATATTTATCTTTGAATAATAGATAAACAAAAGAATAGCTTTATTTAAATTAAGCAAAAATTATTTAAATCAATTTAACAATTTCTTGAGCTAAGAATATAAATTCTTGAAAATTTTCAAGAATATAATAAATTCTTGTATCAAAAAAATTTTCTTATTAAAAGTTTATTTTTTTCTCAGTGTATCTTATTTGAATCCTAACAAGAGAATTCACATCTAATTGTAACATATAATATTGCTTACTTGTCTCTACGTATAACTTATTGTATTTATTTTCTTATTCTTTTCAATTTATCTTTTATTAATTTTGATTATAATTGCATGTATAAATTTGTAAAAAAATTCACTATTCTCAGAATTTTTGTGAATAATTTTTCAGATTTCCAACGCCGTTATTAAAAAAATTAGCTGAAGAACTTAGTATACGTTTTGGCGGTCGAGCTGAAGTTTATTATTCTGCAGGTGTAAGTGAAGGAGTAAATAAAATAAACCCTACTGGAAAATTACAAAATCAAGTAAGTTACGTCCGGAAGCAATTGTATGAAGCAGGATTACTTATAACGTCTGGAAGACAACGTTCTACGTCAGTAGAAACAACAAGTAGTGAGTTAAAATTTTTGATTTTTTTTTTTTTAATTATTAAAGAATGATTGTTTCTATATTTACAAAATTCAATTTTTTTTAAAGCGACTAAAACTTCCGAGGCAAATCTAAAAGTACTTACCAATAAAAATTTCACTGATTGGGACGCTATAAAAAATGCTTGGAAGGATACATATTCTTGTAAGCAGCAGTTGAGGGCCGATAAACAAGATAAACTAATAGAATTTAGTTTTTTCCCGTGTTTAGCTAATGCTGCCGCTGTCAATTTGGTAAGTGTAAACAATTTAAAGAAAACATATATTTTATTAAATCATAAAAAAAAATTATGACTATTTTATTTCATCTTTCAGATCAATGACGACTTTACAAGTACATTCCAGAATTTAACACCACTAAGTGACTCTTGGGCACAAATTCGGCCAGCTTTAGAAGAATTTGTTTTATCTAAAAGAATAGATAATATCAATTATTCTGGTTCGATACACGAGCTTTTTCAATTACCTGATGGTTTGTTTTGGCCTCGAGATTTGAAATATTTAGCAAGATAATAAAATTGATTTAATACTTTTGTACTTTCAGCAAATAAAGATGCTTTAATCCTTGAGCTACTTCTTGACGCAATAAAGTCAACAACGTTGAATTCATCAAAGCGACGCAAAATAGACGAAACACAACCCATCGATGATAAAAAAAAAGGATATTACGGAGTCTTTCGTCCTTAATGTTGAGGTAAATTAAATTCATTTAAATTTGTTGCCAAAAAATTTTTTTTAAAATGTAAAATAATTATTAACTATTTTATAACAGAGTGAAGACAACTTGGATTCCGAAATTAAAAGAAGAACCGATTTGATAACTTCACGTAAAGAATCAATCTATCCATATATGGTTTTTGTTTGATCTTTTTCATCACCCACGAAATTTTACGTCAGCGTAAACCAAGTTAAATACTTGTGTAATACAGCAACAGAAGCGTTAGACCTAGCATTTAAAATTTTTGCGATAACTAACTGTCCTTTTTCAAAAGCATCTTGGAATGTGTGGTTACTAATTAAAAAAGTTGTTTATAAAATTTCATCTAAAGAAAAATCATCAGTTCCCCTGCAGAAAGCAATTACTTTTATTGAACAACATTTGAACCTCAAGATCGTTTAATTTGATAAAATGGACCCGAGTAAATTCATAAAAGATTTGAATGAGTCAGCTGTACTTTTTGTTGCTAAACTGTACAACATCTGATTTACCCAGGAGTCGTGTTAGTACTATAACAAACGACATAACTGACATTTTGCAACATTCATCAGTAAAAATTTTATTTAATCAACTGTTAAATAGATTCAGACAACTTGGTGAGTCATCAAATAATATCGCTGCTTATACTACAATGCTAAATACATTATTAAACCCTTTCAGCTCACTCAGTACCGAAAATCAATGTTTACAATACTTTGAAAATTGCCATACATATATACCACCAGTCGAAGTCAAAATTGGAGAAAAATTTATCTATAAGTCTGAAGATGACCATACAACAATAGCTATTAGTGATTTATATGTCCACGTAATACCCTTAAGAAATGTTTTTACAAAATTTTTTCATCTGCCACACATTTTCGAAAATACAATAGCATACCTGAATACCCTACAAAATGAAAATATTATAATATCGAACGTAACTCAATGTTGTACTTGGAAAAATAAAAAACTTATTTTTGCTAATAAACTTGTTTTCCCAATTTTTTTGTATCAAGATGATTACGAAACTAATAACGCGTTGGGCAGTCACAAAGGATTGGGAAAATTGGGGACAGTTTATATAATTATTCCATGTTTACCACCACACTTACAATCTAAAGTTGAGAATATTTTTCTGTTAGCTCTATATAAAGTCGAAGATTTACAACATGTTCCTTTAATGTCTGTACTACACTATGCTGTCGAAGAATTAAAATATCTAGAGTCAACTGGAATTACTATTAATACTTCAGCAGGTCCAACACAATTATATTTTTCACTAGCCGGAGTTATAGGAGATAATCTTGCGATCCATACACTATTAGGATTTATTGGAAGTTTTTCGTCACATCATCAATGTAGATTTTGCTACATTAAACGAGATGAAATAAACAGAACATTCAATGAATCTATGTGTAATTTGCGTACAGTAGAAAACTATAATGCAGATGTAATAAAAAATACACCAAGTGAAACAGGTGTCGCTAGATAATCAGTGTTACATGATATAAAATCGTCAAATACTATCGAGCTTTTGACAATTGACGTGATGCATGATATTTTCGAAGGTATCTGTGAATACGATTTGGGTTTAGTCATCAACTACTTTATAGTTACTGCAAAATTTTTTTCTCTTGATACGATTAATGAAAGAATCGAAAGTTTATTCTACGGTGATGAAATAGGGAACAAACCTCGACCATTGAAGAAAGCTCAAATTCTAGAAAAATTTATTAAAATGTCAGCAGCAGAGTCATTGTGCTTTATGATTTTTGTTCAACTCATTCCACTTACAATGGCCATGGGCAGAAATATATTGTTAAACGTTGGATTTAAAAATATGAATTTTGTTAAAATAAATAACATAAGTTAATTAAATTTATTTTTTTTCAATTATAATATTTAGAATTAATACTTTTTATAAATAAATAAAAAATTATTAAAAAGTAAGACTTATGACTAATTTTATTTGTCAAATTTCTTAAGCTCACTTTATCAATCCAAAATAAAATTTTAATTATAAAATATATCTCGTTAATTGAAGTATATAAATACATTGAGAATATTGATCATAATTTTATTTTTAATTAAAAAACTAATCCTTGAAAAAAAAACCGATTTTAATTTCAGTGTGTTACTATATTCAAAATAAGATTGGTATTTATCATCTCATTTTAAAAATAGTACCACACTATTCATATATATTTGACTGCAATGCTCTTGAAAATGATAATGTAGAAATCCACAGATTCGGTAGAATCTGGCGCCAAGTTCCGTTCAAATCCGTTGTCAACGGAGCGCCAGGCTACCGACTGTGTTTACTGTAAGCAGAACGGTATTTTGAGGTTGCAAAATTTTATTTAATTCTACGGTACTTTTTTTTCCTAAATTGTATATTATAACAGTAATTC